CCCGGGCCACCAATTTCCAGGTAGGCAATTTTCCGAATTTTACTACTCACGATACCGTACATTGTAAAAGTAAGATTTTTGTATTATTTTAAATGACCAAAATTTTTCGAAATTCTCGAAGCTCCAGCCAAAAAAACATCCTTGCGAAATCTCGAAAATGGCCCCCAAGGGCCCAGGGGATGAGTCATCTGGGCCCCCGGTGGCCCATCTTTCGGTCTCTCTCTCGCCAAAAACATTCCCTTCCCTAGTTAGGGATTAGTAGTTTTCGGGGGTCGGTCCCCTGCTGCCCTAAAGCACCCCGTCAGAATTTGTTTGGAGCCGCTCCAACCAAGAGGGTTCCGCTATGTTTGAAAGGCAACCAAAACACTCCTGATTCCGATTTAAAGGACTTGTAAGAATTGATTGTCGCACTCTCTCTCGCCGCCTCTCTCCCTTTCTTTTCTCTCTTTCTCCTCTCTTTCTCTCTCTCTCTCTCTCTCTCTCGCTTGCTTGCTCTTTCGCCTTACTATCGTACGCTTTTTCCAGACCCAACCCAACATCCGGTGCTTCGAACTCGAGTATCGGTTGGCGGCTTGCCAATTCCGCCACTTCCTCCGCCGTTTCCGATGGTAAGCGAGAGAGAGAGAGAGACCGGCAGAGAGAGAGAGAGAGGGGGAGAGTGTGAGGTTGAGAGGACAGAGGATTCATTACGCTATAAAATGAAAGCGTATATCAGATTGGAAACTAGTCGATCCTGAGCAGAAATAGTCAAAAATGCAGTTACATGTCGCACGATTATAAAACATACATAAAACCGCTATAAATAATACAGCCATAAAAATGTATGTATCCTGTTTCAGCAAGTTCCCCCATTCGCGCAATACCCTCCCGTACCCCCTCCATTCGCATTCGTGCCAAACGGTTACTCGGCCAACGTCCACAACATCAATCGTGAGTCCCTTTTTTGCTGCTATTTGGCTTCTAAAAACGATGTTTATATGTTGTGTGCGTTTAGTGGAAAGAGAAGATTGCTCAGAAATGTATATGGGGTGTGCCACGGAATCGTTAGTCTCTCCAGAGCCAGATCCATTCATCTAGCTTCCGGCTTCCGGTTACAAGTGGGGCCCTTGCCTGGCTTACCTCCAGGGGCTAGATGCCAACAAAAGCACAATAACCCCCCTGCAATAATTCTAGATATTTATAAAACTCGTATTATTCCGCTCATTTTATTCGCGCTTCAAATTTGTTTGGTAGACTGAAAAAAAATGGATTCTGAACCCTTTTCCTTTGGCATACTGTCGCGTAGCATAGTGTAGCTTACCGTAGCTTGGCGTGGCTTGACGTAGCTTAGCGTAGGCTAGGCGTAGTTTAGCGTAACTTAGCGTAGCGCAACATAGATTAGCGTAGATTAGCGTCGCTTGGCGTAGCTTTCGTAGCATGGCGTGGCTTGGCGTCTTTTTTAAGTCCCGAACCACAGACCATAATGCATTACAACATTAAATTCGAATCGGCCGGCATCCTTCTCAATTATTTTTGCCTTTTCGGTTAAATTGCTAGTTTTCTTGTATTTTTTTCGTCAACGGTAAAATTTGCGTAGCTCCCCTTAACGCAGCGTACTGTCACAACCCCTTTAAAAGCCAATTAAGCCCGTCTGCGTCTTAATTTCCTTCGCCAAGTATTGGTAAACGATTATCCATGCCACACACCCCGGAGACAGCCTTCAAAATGAGCCATTTGTGGAGATGGCCGGATGTTATGGAGAGCCAGCGATAGAGAGCTAGAGGGAGAGAGAGAGAGAGAGAAAGAGAGAGGGAGAGCTAGAGAGAAAGGGCATGAGATAGGATCCATTCTCCGTGTCCATTGCTGTTGGGCTGTAACAGCTGGTGTCCCTTTCTCTTGAGGATGGGCCTCCTCCTTTAGGGGGTCTGACCCCTTTAGACCACCCGGATTGGCCTCTTCTCTCTCTCTCATTCTCTCTCTCTCTCTCTCTCTCTCTCTCTCTCTCTCTCTCTCTCGACGCCCGAGGGGCCCAATTTCCAATGGAATACTACTTTTTGGGGGAAACCATCCCCCCGCCCGTTCCCTCTCGCCCCATTTTCTTAGCCCCGGCTTTGGAATTGGGAATTGCACGTTTCTGCAAATCCAGTTTTTTCCTAAGTGCAGCACTTTTAGATACCGTATCTCAATTTTTAGAAAATTAATTAAACTTTTTAGCCGGTCTTGGCCCCCCGATTCCGGCCATCGTACTGAAGAAAAAGCGTAGACGTCGTAACAAGGATCGACCGCAGAGCATGCTGCTGGAGGGGGTAGGTCGTATTTTTGTCTATTTTCCTACAGGGACAAGAGCCTCCTTCGCAATTGACAGAAAGCCATCCAGTTACGCTAGGAAAACAGGAAAAACGGAAGCTAAGCGAGTAAGCGGCGATTTTTGAGATTTTCGTTTTTTCGCCGCGTTCGCCCATCTAAAATTTTTACTCTAGCGGGGTAGCAGCGACAATTTGCTTTTTTAACGTATCAGCCTCTATTCCCAATGCGTTTTCCTAGATGGGCTTTTAGGAAAGCGATTCCTGCTCACCGCCAGCCCCATCCGACCCCAAGGAATTCAATCGGGACTCGACGGGGGATCGGACGACGATTAATGAGGAGGACGAGGATGTGGTGGGCTCTAGATAAAAAAAATCGAATTTTCATGGCTACGACCGCTTCTTGGCATTCGGCTCAATGCCTGGTTATCTTCAGGAAAATGCCAGTCCGTCCAAAGAGGGCGCGCCACTCGGCGGCTCCTGCCCGGATCTCTCCCAACAACAATTGGAGATGTGGGACGACTTTTTGGTGGGTATTTTTAGGTAAAAGCAGCTAAAGAGAAAAATCTGAATTTGCTGCTGTACTATTTATATCGTAATTATAGTACGAATCCGTGGTGAATGGCCGAGGGAGAGCCAGCGCCGAGCGGAACATGATCTCGCATATGCAGCGCTCGGGTGAGTTTTAGTTAGGCCTTAAAATTCTCTCTCTTCACTTTCTTTTTCTCTCTGTCTCTCGCTCTCTCTCGCTCGCTCTCTCTCGCTCTCTCTCTCTCAGCCTTTCGCTCACTCACCCTCTTGCTCATTCTTTTTCTCTTCTTCCCCTCCCCTCGTTATTTCTCGCTTCTTTTGCTCCGATTCAAAGGGCGGGGGTCTGGGTGTACGAAGCGCTACGCACCGCGTCAGCAACCCGTTCACCCAGTCTTACTAGCACTGTCCCTTAAAGGGACTGGCAAGTCGAGAACACCGTCTGTATAGGTTGTCACAATCCAGCTTACGAAACGCTACCGAAGGCCCTGCAGAATGTGATGGAAGAGGAGTACTACGGCACCGCTAACTCCAATATACGCAAGCTGGAGAAGGAGATTAATGGTGTGTTTTCGAGCCAAGAATCTTGACTACCGACTTTTTAGGCAACAGCATGACGGCGTCGATGATTTTGCAGAGCTTAAAGGTGCGTTGAAGACAGGAAAGTTCAAAGTTTCCTTTTTTTAGGACAAATTCGCGCGTAGCGTCGACGCACCGGGGAGTACGCAGAAAAGTCTGGCCAGCGAGCTTGAGGAATTGACGTTTAGGCCCGAGATCTCGGTGGGATACTGTAGTCTATGAGGGTTTTTAGTGCTTAAAAACGAGCGACTTTTTGGTAACTGGCCCTTTAATGATAATTTATGCCCTATAAATCATAATTATCAAATTTTAGAAGTATGGGTACCCCCAATTTGACTCGGATCGACATCACGTGACCTCATTTCATCCGGACGGCTTCAGCTCGACGATGGAATCAGTAGGAGATTTTTCGTTATCTCTCTCTCTCTCTCTCTCTCTCTCGCTCTCTGTATCTTACTCTCGCTCTCTCGCTCTCTGTAGCTGCTTCTCAATCACTTGCTCGCCTTCTTTAACCCTCCCTGTAAGTCTATGTCTCCATAACTCGGGCTCCTTTCTTATCTCTCTCACTCACTCTCTCGCTCTCTCTCTCTCTCTCTCTCTCTCTCTCTTTCTCTATATATCTCTATCGCTCTCTCTTTCTCTTTCTATCTCTATCGCTCTATCTTTCTCTCACTCTCTCTCTTCGGTTCATCCCTACACACCCTAACATTCAGACAAAAATCCGTATCCCGCTCGTCGAAGATTCACTAGAAGGTATGCGGATCCGGGTGAACGCCTTCGAGGATGATGACGTAAGTTTCAAAATCTCTTCCACCATCCCACAAATTCGTTGCAGGACCCGACGCTGTCCGAGTCGGAGTGCCCCGAGCCGTCTCGATTCCAAAAGCTGCAATGGGTCATCCAGCAGAAGAAGCATCAACAGATGGGGAATACCGGACCCCCGGAGCGTGTTTGCTGCTCTGTCATGTGAACGCGCGGGTTTTAAAGGAGCTTCGAAGGCAAAAAAAATTGGTTGTCCCTAAAGCGTCCAGATTTTTTCACACGTACAAACCCGTCCTTAGATGTACTTCGTAGCGTCCCTTCTAGAATTTGCCTTCACGATCCCTCTAAAATACCGTATCTATGAATTTCCGTTATGATCCGGACAGGAAAAATGCCGACAGGCCGACACCAAAATACCGACACCTCCATTCAAAGAGCAAGTTTTAGTGCCGATTATGGTTGTCGAGATATTGATGTCGAGTTTTTGGTTATCGGGATTTGGGGTGTCGGGGTTTTTCCTTCGGCATTTTGGCTGTCGGCATTTGGTCTAGCAAATCTGGCGTTTTACCGTCAATATTAGTGGGCCAGCCCTTAAGCAATTTCCAGCCTTGTTCCGCCCGTTATTTGGTGTATATCGTTGCCCCCCTACGAGTCCCCGCCGAGTTCTTTTTGTCCAAAACTCTCTAGTCGCCCTTGCCAACCCCCAAATCTGGTGCTATATTTATTGCGTTTTTGCTTGCTTTGATTTTTCTGCATTTTCACGTCTATTTTTTGCATAAATTTATTCCACCTGCACATTACCGTATACCCTGCACATATATTGGGATTTTAGGACCTGGAAAAAAATCACAGATGCGCCCGGTCCTTGCGCGCCAGGTAGATTTTGTGCCAAAATTCGGGCCGTCCCTCGATGAAGTTGTCCTGGAACGATTTGAATGTAATAAAGTTAAGGAAAATTATATATCAGCCAAAATAAACAAAAACTTCGGGGTTTTTTGCATACCCATTATTAATTTTAAATAGAACGAAAAATCTACTAAATTGATTTTTTTTACTAATCAAATTCTTAAAACACAACGACTTTAAGCATGTTATTTTTTTGGTTTCTAGCATAAAAATAAATATTTTACGCAGAAAAACACCAAAATACCGACAGCGAAAATACCGAAATTCAAAATAACCTCTCAATGGAAGTGGCATTTCACTATTGTGCAGGTTATCGGGATTGCGACCTGTCGGCATTTTGGCTGTCGATATTACGATTCTTTTCCTTTCAGTATTTTGGCCTGCCGCTTTTCTTGTTGTCGGGATTTTTTCTGTCGGTATTTTGGCCTGTCGGGATGAATTTTTACCTCCATTTTCGGCGGCAACTCAATCGCCAAATGTCGACTCAGGTTCTGCGGATCGTGCTTTTTCCAAACGCCCTCAGCATCTGTTTTCCCGTTGGGGTTACTGTAAGAGATTACTCACTAGTTACAGTAAGCCTTAAAACTACCCATATTTTGCGAAATTTGCAAAGAAATCCGTCATCAGGTCGACCATCTTCAGGTCGTCGTCGTTGGGGCGGAACTTGCTGATGATGCCCTTGCCGAGGATATATCGTAGCTCGGTGCAGTGTGTGGCTCCTAAATTCTTCAATGCTTTTTTGCGATACAGTACTCACCCAAAAACGGAAAGATCCATTTCAGGATTCCGAAACCGTCCGGGTTGAAATAGTTGAACTGGTACAGGTAGACGGGGGAACCTTAAAAGAGGTATTTTAGCTTGTTCTAAATTCTTAAATTAATTAATTATACGGTAATTGAGTTAAAATCTACTTTAAAATGCTAAAACTACATGTTTTTAATTTACTTAAGATCATTATGTGCAAAAATCCCATTAAAATCGATCTTAAAATTTTCTATATTAAGTCTTTTTATATGGTTAAAATGAATCGCAATTGAAAACCACCCCAAAAACGTTAAAAAACGTATTTCCCTAGCGCCATTCTGACCCAATAAAACATATAAACCACAAACTACAAGCCAAAAACTGGCATGAAATTTATTAAACCACAAAAATTACGGCCAAAATCAGACCTTTTGGATGTTTGCACGGATTTGCAGGGTTTTCATTTTCGTCAAAAATTTAAACCGGTTCTTTGATTTAAAAAACACTTTAAAAAATGTTATTTTTTTAATTTAAAAAGTCTCAGATGATTCTCGTTTTTTCCAGACCTGAAAAAACGTACCCAGCTCCGCCTCTATCCGCGCCAGCTCCCACGTGCCGGCATTTATCGCCCAGTCACCGAGCACCTCAAAGAAATGATTTTTTTCTTACTGTATGTTTACAGTAATTACCGTATTTGTCATTTTTAATTTTTCTTTTTTAACTAATCAAATTTTACGTTAAAAATCTGACCTTTGCCATCCGGAACACCACTTCTTTTCGGTCTTTCGGGTCGACCCCTTTCAAATACAGCTCTTTTACCTCGGCCCTAAATTAATTTCTTGCATTTTATTTCCAGGAATTCCTACCGTAACCGCTCGGCATTCTCGTACTTTTCGTCGGGTAGGCACCGGTCGATGAAGCGCTCCACGCTTTCGTACGATTTCGCGAGGCCGGAGAAACCGACTGAAAGGGGAGGGATGACTATTCGATTACGACAGGTAATTTTTTTAAAGGTTTGATTATGTTTAAAGAAATATCATCAATTTTAAAGGAGCAAAACAGATCTTAAATGTATAATTTAGTCCCTTGAGCGTTGTTGCCGCGACGCAATCGCGCGCAGCCTCTCCTTTATTCTCAATTTAAACGTGAAAACGCGCGAATTTACGAATTCTGCCACCATTACTGGAATGCTCATAAAATTTTGATCCTCCAAGCCGTTTTAATCATCAAAATCCGCCCAGAAATCACCGAGATCAAAGAATTGTACGCCCGAGGGGTCATTACGACATGTAATTCCGAAGAGCTCAAAAAGCCTATTCAGCTCCGAATTTTTCGTTTTTTTTTCCAATAATTGCTTCGTGCCTGGCCCCTTTAAAGTACAAACTACATTTGCAGTACCTACCAAAAAACAGCCCCTCATGCTGGGTGACCCCCAGCATCCGCGGCTTCCGCGGCGCCTCTTTTCTGAGCTCGGCGAGTGACTTGGGGAAAAAGTCGCCATCGAGGTTAGGGACGAAAAGCAGTTGCCCCGGTCGTCCGAAGCCCTAAAAGCTATTTTTACCTAATTTTGGTCATTCCTGCGGTCAAAACCCAGTGCCCACCTTTTTTCCGGACATTCCAAGCTCCAGCAACTCGGCGTATTGCCCCCGAAGCCACTCGAGCACGTCCTCGCTTGTGTCTTCTTCTAGATAAGCAAATTCTGGCAAAAATAAGGATTTTTTTGCTTAATTTTTGCTGAAATTTCGAGAATTTTGGACAGAAATCAACGAAAATCGCATGAAAACCGTTCAAAAAAATTCTAGTAGTAGCCTTAATTTATGTAAAGTATATTTTTTAACTTTTGTGTTAAAATTTCGCACCAACCTGCCGGCTTATAGCCAATAAATTTCGCAAAATCCCTCGACAACTTTGCCTGGTCGGCCGCCGTTCGAACCGCAAAATCGCACTCCCCGTTTCCGGCCATCGGGATCACCTTGTGGAATAGATCTGGAAGATTCCGCGACTGTACTTTGTACACCGTACACTACGGAGTGTTCCGAAAGATTTCATTTCTTGCGGCTTGTAGAAGTATCCGATTTTCGAGGTTTAGGTATCTATCGAAAGCTCTTGAAAAGGCGAAAAGCCACCGTTTTTGTATTTACAATATGTAATTTATTTATAGCTTTTTTATCGCCGAAAGCCGTAAAAAACGACATCCGAAATCTTATTGCTGTTTTCACCTTAAAACGCGCATTTTAGGGCTCATAATAGCAAGAAAAAGCAAAGAACTGAAGAAAACAAAGTATCTTCCACCTATGCACTGAGCTTGAGCTCCTGCTCCTGACAAACCTCGAGAATGCGGCGATAAACTGAGCAAATCGCTGGAGGCCCCGCCGGCACTTTGCCCGAACACCGTCACGTTATTCGGATCACCGCCGAACTTGGCGATGTTGTCGCGGATCCACTGGAGTGCAAGCGTCTGGTCCCAAAGTCCGTTGTTTCCTAAAATTCAGATTTTATCGTAATCTTTAACTAGGGATTACCCAAGCAATGCTCATCGCCAGTCGTGAAGAACCCGAAAATCCCGAGGCGGTAGTTGATCGAGACAACGATCAGGTCTTTGGCGCATAGGTTTCTAAGAGGTTGTGTTAAAGGCGCTAACAAGTGCGGATATGCTTACTGGTAAACTTCGCCCCCTTCCCCCCGATAATGCGACAGCACCCGAAATTTAGAATTTTGAATTTTCAAAATTTCGAAATCCAGAACGTCGACATTTCAGAATGTCGAAATTTCATAATTTTGAAAGATCCAAATGTCGAAATTCAGAATCTCGAAAATGAGAACGTGGAAATTCCTAATAATTAAATATCGTAATGTCAAAATTCAGAATGTCGAAATTAAGGACGCCCGAAATTTCAGAATTTCGATCATACCACCGAAATCCATCAGGCCGAAATTCGAGAATATCGGGAGTCGGAATGTCTAAATCCACAACGTCATCATGTCTAATTTCACAATGTCGAAATTCAGAACGTCAAAATTTCCTAACGTCAAACTTCAGAATGTCGAAATTTCAGGATGCGATTTTCACAATGTCAAAAATCTTGATGCCAAAATGTCATACGGTCGATTTGTCACGGGAAATCGCGCGGAAAATGCCCCAAATAATACGCCCAAAATGTCGGTATATTGAAATGTCGACATTCCGAATTTCGACATTTTTCGCTCGATTAACTTGGGAACACCTTTAACCAACCTCGCCAACGTGCGATCCCCATAGTTTGAGCTGGAGTGCATCGTATAACCACCGCCATGAATCCAAACCATCACCGGGTGGCCTTGGGGCTAAATTCAGCAAGTTTCCACGCGTCGAAAATCACTCACAAACTCCTCGCTGGTCCACTGGGGCGCGAAAATATTCAGTGTCAAGCACCTGGCCTCGTCCTTCCCCACAATGTTCAGGAATCCGGTGAAATACTCGTCAGTCTGCGGGCATCTCGGCCCAAAGTGGAAGCAGTCCAGTGTGTCGGCCCATTTTTTGACGGGGACTGGTTTCTAAACATGACTATTTCTGCCATAATCCTGGCCGTAGCCAGCAGACAGCAAAATCTCGAAAAGCCGAAATCCCGACAGCCAAAATCCTGATTGTCTATAATACCGACAAGCGAAATCCCCAAAGCCATAATCACGACAGCCATAATACCGACAGCCGAAATCCCGACAGGCGAAATTTCTTGGTCAGGAATCTGTCGGCATTTTGGTAGCCGGGATTATGACCTGGGAATTTTAAACGAGGGCATTTTGGCTCTCAGTTTCTTGCTGTCGGTATTATTGCTCAACTCATAATGTCGAAATGTCATAATATCGAAAATGGGATTATCGAATTGTTCAAAAAGTCCAGACTTCCATACGTCGAAGTTTACCATGCACAAATCCTTCGAAAATCGCCCAAATAAAATGCAAAAATGCCGAAATTTTGAAAATTCGATAACCGGTTCGGTATTATGAATTTCGACATTGTCACATTTCGACATTTGAAATGCCGGCATTTTAAATTTCGGCGTTATAAATTTCGACGTTGTGAAAATCAGCCTCTTTAGAAGGTATATTCTGGAGCATTAAACATAAGAAATCTCACTTTAATCGTTCTAAAAATCACCTGAAAACGCAGCTCGCCAACCGGTGGCTCGGCATACGGAATGCCCAGAAAACCATCCACCAGCCGCCCATCGACATTTGTATAGCGGCGTCCCCGGACTCTGCCAGACGTCGTCTCGACTGTCTTGCAAATTTAATGAATTTTAACGAATATTTTTGCGAGTATCACCTTGTCGCTAATTATCGGCGCCGACGAGCCGATGCCCATCTTTTTTCGCTGAAAAATTATGGATAAAAAAAGTTCATGAATATAGCGCCGTATTGAGAAATCTTTACACTCCCTTCAAAAAGCCCCAAAATTTCGGACATTTTCGGGGTCTTTTGCATTATCGGGGGGGGGGGGTATCTAAGATCACCTCATTTTCCCTGTATCAAATAATGCCTATTAGCGTAATAAAAACTGTCTTAAAAATGCTTCTAGTAAAGATTAAATATACCTGAAATGGAAAAATTTATGAATTTTATTAAGTTCGAAAGTTTGGTGGAAAATCGATATTTTTGCGTTTTTTACTACATTTTGTAAAGCTTTACGTTTAGTAATAGCAGAAATCAGTTTAGAAGCACTTTTTCTATTTATATAAAAAGGAGCCCCCCCGATAATGAAAAAGCACCAAAATTTTCAATGTTCAAAACTTCACGAGAGAGTGGTAACATAATCGATAATTCCAATTTTTTAACAATTTTAGCTGAATTAGTAAATTTCATAACCTCGCAAAAGCTTCAGTCGGCTTAGGCTTTTTTAAACTTTGCCCTAGCCATTGATTCCAACGGCTAAAAACCCAAACATAGTCTGGTGTCGTAGTCTGAGGCTGCGGGGCTGATAATGCTGGATCGGGGGTAAGCCTTCGATTTGGCCGCCGCCAACCGGTTCCCCCTTCCTCAACCATGTTTTTCAATCCAACGAAATCCGCTTTATGGAAGTCAGACGGCCAAAAAAGTGCGGATTTAAAATTAAAATTTAGCATTTTACAACAACTATTTAAAAATCTAACGACATATTTTAAATTTATGATTTAAAGGGAAACCAACTTTTGCTTTGTTTTAATTTTTTTAATATAATTTCTAAACTTTTTTTTATTAACAAACGCAAAAACTGTACAATTTTTTTATTACAAAATACAAAATATCGGTTTTTTTTGGCGACAAATCTGGATTTGCAACCGAAATGTCGCATTAAAAATTTCTAGATTTTTGAAGAAAAATTTGCGCTTTACACATTTTACAAAAATAATTTAGGAGCAGAAAACTACTAAATTCAGATTTTTAAAATTTTGCAAAATTACTTTATGACTTATTAGCAGAAAACATCACCAAAATCAAACTAAATACACTTATTTCCTTACTAGACATGAAGGCAGAAAAAGGCAACAACAAAATTAGTTAAGGTGTCTACGCCAAAAAAAGCCGTCCCCTATAACAGGGACGCGACTAATAAAATTAATTAAACAAATAAATAAAAAAGCATTTTCAAGGGACGGCGCCCAAAAAAAAACGGTTTCAAGGTTCCAGCGCTACCATTCTACCCCCCAGAAAGCCCGCCGAAACGCGCACCCACCGGAAGCCCGCAGCACGGAAAGCACGAAAACATTCCCTAGCAAATACCCTCGACGACAAGCGCTAGGTTGGAGATTGAAAACGGCACAGCATCAAGTTCTACACCCCCCCCCCCTGAACTTTCAGACCTCACGCGCTGTAATAAAGATAAAATCGGCGCTGCCTCTGAAGAAGCCAGGTGATCGCCGGTGGGGGGGACAGTGAAGCATCGAGCGAGCTGCCCGCCCAAATAAGGGCATTTGGCTTGCCGGAACATTGATTACAGTTCCTGTGGGGGGTCGCGTCCTTGACCGTGGCCCCTGGGGCTTATCGCCGTTTCCTAGAGCATGGATCGGGCTGCATAGTACAGTAGGCGGGCCCCGCGCCAGCGTCTCTCTTGAAAAGACTGGCAACGAGTGAGGGCGGCTGGCAATTGCAGGCCTGAAATTTTTGAAATCTGAGCTTTGTAAAACTTGTAAACTCGTGATTGATATGAAGGGATATCAGGCAACCGGAAATTTGCGGATAATAAAGTTCCAGTTAGGATTCTTATCCGCCGAACGTTTGCTTTTGCCGCGAAATATCCTCTTATTCGTTGCACCCTCGATCCTAGAAAGTTTCCTACGAAGTCCTTATTTTTAGAAACCCAATGGACAGCCTTGCAAGTGGCCCGCCGACCGAGGACGAACTACGTACGCTGGGCCATGTACAGCGACTGGCCGAACTCGTCGGCCTCACCATGACTGATGCCCAATTGCTCGTCTGCCAACGCTTCATCGCCCGCGGAGCCAACCCAATAGTCCTGATCAACATCATCAGGCGCGCACAATCTGCCCAGGGCGCCAATTCGACCCCTTCGCGTTCGTCCTTGAATCAAGGCATCTGAATCCAGCGGAAAAAGACCTCTGAAATGATTGCGTTTTCCGTGTGTATATACTGTGACTGATTTGCTTGACGGTGCCTTCTCATTTTCGTTGTTCTCATGTTTTTACGGGTGTCTTACATAAATATAGATAAATTTAGGCAGCTATGAGCGCCTACGGCCGTCCGGCGCTGATGCGATTGGCGTCTATATCACGGAGCGTGCAGGAAGTTGTAGGTAATAATTTTTGCGTTAAATTTGGTGCGCTTGAGCTTGTTTTAAAGTTTTCGTTTAGTTCGTCAAAACGCTCACCGGGCGTCTCTTGGCAAGATCGGACGCTCACAGTATCTTCTCAAGTATCCGGTGCGGCTCATCCGGCCCGATGGTTCCACAATCCAAGTTCGTGCCGACGAGCCAAGAGAGGTATCTTTGTACTTTGTGCGTCAATCATTCCTAATAGACAGTTCAACTTGCCATCGATTTGAAGACGTTGACGGATGATGAGAGGCGTCAACGGCTCGCCGCGCGTAAACCGAAAGCGAAGAAAATCAGAAAGGTAATTTGATCTCGATTTTCCATGATTTTTCGTTTGTTTAGGAGGTTATCGACGACAATTTCGATTCAAATGAGTACATGAAGTACTGGGCACAACCTGAACCGGAGACGGCCACAAAACTCGCAGCCGCAGACAAAGCCGCACCGAAGCAGGCATTGGCGGACAAGGCACCGGAGAAAAGGAAGGACAACAAGAAGAAAAATAAGTGATGTCTTTTTTTCAATTCGTGATGCGTGTACATAATCGTTTAGACCATTGATAGCGTAGATTGTCGTTCTGTTTGTCCTGCTATTCGTTACGCATAAATTTTTACGATTACACGATGTCAATCCCATCACAGGTTTTTCAACCATCTATTTATTGCCGCTTCTCCCGTCGGCACTGACGAAAAGTTTCTAGATGGCCCCAAAGTACAGCATACTGCTGCCAACTTACAACGAAAAAGAGAACCTTCCGATTTGCCTATATCTGATCGAGAAATATTTGAAGAAGCACTCGTATGAGGTGATTATTACGACCAGTTTTCGAATTTTCTCCTAGGTGATCGTTATTGACGACAACAGCCCGGATGGTACGCTGGAAGTTGCCAAGAAATGCCAGGTTCATAAATACGCTATTTTTCAATTTGTATTGCAGAAAGAATTCGGCGCCGACAAAATAATCCTGCGGCCGCGTGAGGGCAAATTGGGCCTGGGCACCGCCTACATCCATGGGTTGAAGCACGCACGTGGCGAGTGGGTATATTCTTTTATTGGCGAAAATTTGTTCACCAGGTTCATTATCATTATGGATGCCGACCTTTCGCATCACCCCAAATTCATCCTGCAGATGATCGAGCTGCAAAAAAGTAAAAATGTGGGTTTATTGGTGTTTTATTTTATCGCTTTTCTAGCTTGACATCGTCACCGGTACTCGCTATGCGCCGGGCGGTGGCGTCTCTGGATGGGATCTACGACGAAAAGTAATGTCTGCGGGTGCCAACTGTCTTGCTCAGGTATTGCCAGTTAATTCCTTCTGAAATACGCTTCTTTAGTTCTTTCTCAACCCCGGCGTTTCTGATCTGACCGGCTCATTCCGGCTATACAGGTATTATAATTTGGGTAGATCGATTTCTTTTTTTCAGGAAAGAAATCCTCGCTACATTGATTGCTCACTGCGTTTCGAAGGGCTACGTTTTCCAGGTATTTGCCGATTTCTATGTGCCTATGACCTTTTTAGATGGAAATGATGTTCCGTGCCAAGAAGTTGGGCTATCAAATTGGCGAGATACCAATCACGTTCGTCGACCGCTTCTTTGGTGAATCGAAGCTGGGAGCGCAGGAAATCGTCGGCTACCTTCAAGGGCTTTTCCAACTGTTTTTCACCGTCGCCTAAACTCCATGCAAATCAGCTTTAACTTGCCCTCCCCATTATTGTGATTTTGCTAATATTGGTTGTATTTTTCTGGGTTCCACCTGCCTTTTTCTGTGATTCATTGTCTAAATTTCGTGCAATAAACCTGGTGACGCATTCAGTCCATCTTCTTTCGTTCCATTCAGCGGGGCTTGCTCCAGTCATTCACTATTTACGCCGCTTGGCTTTCATTAATAATTTTATATCGAGCTAATGAAGAATTTTGACAGGCCACAAATGCAAACACTAGAAATTGGAAAACTCGCCGAACTCGTTGGAATGCCGGTGTGCATAAAAGTAAAAACTAAAGCGGAACTAACTGGGAATATATACACGATCGATCCAGATGGCGGTCACCTCGTGCTTGTATCGTTCGCTGAAAACGACGGCCCACCCAAGGATTTTCACATCATTCCCTGCCACTCTATTAAAAAATTAACCCGAATTTACGAAGGTCATGTGCTCAGTCGGGCACCTTCGGATTTAGTGAATGAGCAAATGAACGCTGTTTTTGCCTATGTAAAACCTTCCAATTAATTACTTTAATTTAATTTTCATGTTTTTTGCTCACTTTGTCTCCCCCTCCCGAATGATCTCATTTATCTCAAATACGTGGTTTTCCGCTTGTCATAAAAACAAATAAAAATTTAGGGCCCAAAGCGCGTGATGTTATACGATGACGACTACATACATGAGCCCGAGAAGAAAGAGGAAATGTTTGAAGAGCCGATGAAGGAGCCTGGCCCATCCAAGATATCGATGAAGTTTTTCCAGCAAAATTTGGCGCATAAGAAAAATGTCATCAACCAGGTGAACTGCTTTTCGGGTGTGTTATGTAGAAACCCGTTTAGCCAGCCGTACCGCGAACCACTGCCCAAGCCGTCCCGGTGTTTAATCTATCCGGCCAAGCGGGCCCGAAGCCTCAACTGAACATCAAAGCCGCCCCAAAGCCTAGTTTTCAACCAACGCTCAAACCGTCCGTGAATCCTGTAAAGGTATTTCTTTTTGAATTCGTTATTCCGCTTTGATGGTTTCGATATTTTTTAGTTCTGCCTTTTCTAGAGCAGCTTTTAGGCTACTCCACTAAACGATGCCGCGCCTCTCAAATTTTTACCCAATGCTGCACTGGAAGATAAGGTATTTGGTATCCAGCTCGTCAAATACACATAATTAGGTGCTACTTTTCAACGAGGTTGTCGTGGAAAATGAATACCAACCGGCCGTCCCGAATGATTACTTCGACATGCGCAAGAAACTAGATGCAATGGCGGCAAAAGAAAAGGTCTGAATGGCTTTGGCGGTGAAAAATTTCGTCAGGTTGCGCGGGAAATTGCCGAACGGTTGGCGAGGGAACATGTTGAAGAAGAGAAGAAACGGGCAAAGTATGCAGCTTTTGCCCCACCCACAATCTACCAGGACGAGCCTAAAATTAAGGTAAATTGTTAGTAGCTTGCGCTTCATTCATGATTAGGAGGAAGAGCCGGAACCCACCTCATCAAATGCCCCCACGTTTACTGCACCGGCGATCAAGCCCGGGTTTGGTGGGAAGAGCCGTGGACTGGGCGTCGCGGCGAATATCATGAGCAAAATGGGATACAAACAAGGTAATGAATTTTAGACAGTTTTGAAAGTTCCGCTCTTTAGGTTTCGGTCTCGGCAAGTCCGAGCAGGGCATTAGCAGCGCGTTGACAGTTCAACGAGTGGGACAAAATGCCGGGCAAATTTTGACAGAAACTCAGGCGGCAATCAAAGGTGACTCTTCAGTTTATGAAACTAACAATAAGCTGCTATTTTCAGAAGCCCAAAAGCGGCACCACGAGGCGTTGGGACGGCGAACGTGGCGGACGCGATGAAGCATTCGAGCCGCGTAGTGCTTTTACGGGTATTTTTTTTGTCATTAAAAGCAATATGTCGTCCAGAATCTCGTGGGGAAAAGTGAGGTGGACGCCGACCTGCAATCGGAGATCGAGGCCGAGATGGGCAAGTACGGCACCGTGTCCAGTTCACATATTCATTTGGTCAGTCGCTTTTTTTGGACTTGGTAGCATAATGCCGTATGTCAAATACCGCATGGCACCCCGTGTAGCAAAATACCGAAATCTAAAAACCTAAATAATTCAACGAAACTGACTGCCTAACTAAACCTAATTAAAATTTCGATTCATCGGAACTTCTGTGATTTGAGAAACTATTTTTTTTCTAAGATTGGGGTTTGCCTAATTATTCCGCAAGAAAAGAAAATAAAAAAATTTAACGCGGTGGTTTGAATTTGGTGTTTTGACGTCGGTCTCATGAAATTTGGAATTTTCATCTTCGGTGTAAAAAAGTCCACATTTCTTGGAAGTTCATTTTTCAGATGCCTGAGGGTACCCCAGAGGACGAGGAGGTGCGGATATTTGTCGAGTATTCGAACGTCCCTCAAGCAATCAAGGTGCGTTTCTATAGACTTTGCGTGTACCGTCCATTTTAGGCATTTATCGTCCAGAACAACCGATTTTTCGCCGGGCGCAACATTCGGGCGACATTCTACTCACCCGACGACTATAACGACCGGATCTACGACGTGGAGACGATCACCTGATTTTTTTGCTGTTCACATTTTTGTTGTTATTTTACGATGTCGGTGTTGCCTGTACTATTAATTAATTTTTATTTCGATAATGATGCTTTTCTACCTTTGACAAAACGCACGTTATGGTATTTTGACGGCTAACAGGACCACGCCGCTTTTAAGCTTTTGTAAGAAATCGTTTAATATCGAGCGCGGACTAAATTTTTTTGGAAAATTAGGAGCATTTGTTTTCTCGCCATTTCAAGAGCCGGCGAATGGTGTAAAAAGCATCCCGACCCGAGCTTTTTCCGGGCCGCTTTAGGGGGTCGATTTTTAGTGACACCGTGTAGTGGCAACTCGCTAAAATCGTTTTTTGTTAATTAAAGTTTTTAGTTAAATTTTGTTAGCCCCGGATTGGCAGTATTGGTGGTATGCGCCTGCGGGCCGGGGGTGAGATCTGGTATTTGAAGGGCGAGAGGTGAATGGGACGAGTTGTGTGTGTATGCGGTGGATTCCAGTCGGATTGACCCTCGTTCACCGACACGGCTGGTCCAGCAGCACTGCTCGTCCCGATTTTACAGTCGACGGATTCGGGCCGGGAGACGCGCTCGCTCGGCGTGAGACCCTCCGCGGTAACAGAGATGCATGCACTCAGCGAGCCTCAATTTGCAGTACGCAGCACAACACCCAATAAGGCCGGGGGATCGTCTCGTCTTGGGGGGGACCGTATACCGCACCGGGGTCATTTGTCGCGGAGCATGACCGTTGCTTGGGTGGGGTCTCTGGGCTGGAGAAGTGAAAATATCGAAACGAGCAATATCTATAAAATTTTAGGCGAGGAAAATTGTTTTCGTTCGAAAAAAGACGAAAAATTAGTTAAAAATAGCGATTCCTAAATCCAGAAAGGTACTAGCAACCCGATCTAAGGCCTGAAATAGCCAATTTAGGAGGTTTCGAGCGTAAAAAAGCCTCAAACAGCGGAAAATCAAACGGAAACTTAGCAAAAAAATATAAAATTTTCTTCTAGCTACAATAAACTAACGGAGGCTATTAAGCACGAGAATCGACCCCCTAGCACGGCTAGGCCTGGACAACTACAACATGGGCAAACAGGCGAAACTTAGACACCGGACCACAAATTTGAACGCCCCGCGATCCGCAACGCACGCCGGACAGAGCGAACACGCGCGTTGCGTGTCGCTGCCTTAACAGGGATCCATAAGAAAAATTTTTTTTTTATTTTTTTTAATATTTTTTTTTTTTTTTTTTTGGGGGGGCCGTGCCCTCCACTTTCGCCTCGGGACCCAGCTTGCTAGGGATTGGGGTCAGTTGGGTGGGTTTCCCCTCCTCTCGGCTCGTCGACAAATCGGGCCAATCCCCCTGGTGATCCGCCCAGGGCGCTGAACAGGGTGTACAGAAGGCTCCAATCGTTGCTCTCGAACGTTGGGGGTATCCCATTTCGTTCCTAACGTATTTTGCAGTGTCCAATGGAGCCGGTCGTAGTTTGGGACTTCAGCCTCGCACGTACCAAAGTTTGGCAGTTATCGTATTCAGATCCCCAATTTCGTGATTTTGACTTGTTGGGGGCTTTTAAAGGGACTAGGAACTTTAAAGATGTGATTTTCTCTATTAGGGTCGAAAAGATCTGTCACTATCCCTTTAGAAGATGTTTTTAGTTCGCCAGCCCAGCATAGAGCTCTCTCTCTCTCTCTCTCTCTCTCTCTCTCTCTCTCTCTCTCTCTCTCTTCGTCTTTCGCTCTCTCTCGCTGTCTCTCGCTGTCTCTCTCTCACTCTCGGTCTGTCTCACTGTCTCTCTCTATCTCTTGCTTTCTCTCTCTCACAAGGTCGCTCTCTCCATGTCTCTCTACCTCTAACTCTCTCGCTGGCTCTCCCTGTTTCTCACTCTCTCGCTCTCTTTATCCATGTAGACATTTCTTAAAGGAACCTACAAGGCACTACCCTTTGGATTTTGTCTACGGTAATCCACGGACCGCCAGCGTTTTCTTACTCGTCCCTTTAAATTTAGTTACCTCACCTCTGTTTGGCCCAAATTTTCCGGGCCACTACTCCCGCCGTTCACTAACTCCATCTCGACCCGATAGTCCCAACTTTTCTATAGGATCAGCCGGGGGTAAATCCGATGCTCCCGGCCCTCTCTCCCCATCTAATAATGAATGATTGCCCTTGGGGCCTGCCCCCTAATTACCGTTACCAATGTTTGTATACTGGGGTGGGGGGTGTCCACTGTATCGCCGTGTCCTTGGGGCACACGCACGGCCTAATACCGTAATCCCCCTGGCGCTCCAGCCTGAGGGGGAGGATAATCGAGAGGTTGACCTTCATTTCCTGGCCAACCCGGGCCGGCTGGACAACAGTTATGACAGCCGAAAGACTCGGGGAGCGAGAGGTTCGCAACATGACCCTCCCCCCATCCAGGTACCCGGGGAGGGGCGGGGTCACCCTTTAGGCTTCAATTTTCAGCAGGTTGACCTCGTTTTTTGGGTGGCCCTGGTGGGGGTTGTGAATGATCAGTTTTTGAATTTGCTGTTTTTGAATTCCTTGAACTTGGCTGAAAGCTAGCCGGCCAGGATTTGCTAATGAGCGCCCCGGGAATCTCGTAAAATTTGTAATTTTTTGCGGTTTTTTTTGTACATTAATCCAGTATCTCTTTGGTTCTCTGGCTAACTGTTCTCTTTGGTTCTCCCTTAACTTACCGCCTCGCTCTTCAGGTCGTTCTCTCTCTCTCTGGCTCTCTCTTTCTCTCTCTCTATCGCTGGCTCTCTGTCTCTCGCACTCATCCTCGCGCTGTTCTGGCGTTCTCTCTCTATATCGCTGGCTCTCTATCTCTCTCGTTCTCTCTCACTCACGGCTCTTTATTTCTCTCTCTCTCTCTCTCTCTCTCTCTCTCTCTTTCTCTCTCTTTCTCTCTCCCTCTGTCTCTCTCTGGTATCTTCTGTCTCTCTCTCGCTCTCTCAATGTCTCTCTCGCTCTGTCTCTCTCTCTCTCTCTCCTTGATAAGCTATCGCGCTTGAGTCTTAGGTTTTTCTTCATCTTCCACAATTTTCTCTGCCATCAACGCACATTAATGGAAACCACCTCCTCAAGCACCTCTACTTATTTCCGGTCCATTACTAGCCCATCTCACATCAAAAACCGAAGAATTGGTAGCGGAGAAAATTGCGGAAATCGTGAGTCAGCTCAATTTGACGACCAGCTCCGAAATATCCAGCTTTACCGGTCAGTCACCCGATATAGGCCAGGAGAGCCAGCCCTGGCTATTATCGGTCGGGAAAAGGTTGATCATGCAGTTGGAGGTGACCCAGTTATGACCGGAATTCGGGTGGCATGGCTTCGGCAGGGCCTCGGAAATGGTTTTTGCTAGTTTACCCAGCGATCCTGGCTTCATATTTCCTTTGGCAGCTTTAGCTTCGTGTGTCGGAATTTTTCCACAATGATTTCCGCTAGTTTGCCTAGCTGTTTTGGCTCGTGCTTAGGGTTAGGCTTAGCTTTATGCGTTAGCTCAGGCTTAGGCTTAGCTTTAGGATTATGATTAGGTGAAACCTGGGTTAAGCTTAGGCTCAGGCTTAGACTTACGCATAGGCTTATGTTTATGCTTAGGCTTAGGCTTGGATCTTGGTTTAACTTTTGGCTTAGGATTAGGTGAAATTCGGGCTTCGGTCTGGGCATTAGCTTAGCCTCTTGCTCAACCACAACTTCCTTCTTTCTCTGACTTCCCAGCCCCTTTAAACGTTTGGATCGCCAGCTCTTGCTCAGGACTCGCTAGCTCCTCCGGCTATTGTGGACACAAACTCGTACTTGCCAACTCAACCGTGTCCATCCATAGCTGCTGCTGCTCACTTGACTGTCCAGAAGCATTGGAAAGGATATGGTTGTCCGCCTCCTTCTCCTCCTTCTCCTGCTCTTGCTCCCCATGTCCGGTGTGTGGCTTTCAATAGGTTGAGCACGAGAGGGAGAGGGCGGGAGGAAAAGATGGAAAGTGGGCGAATCGCGTCACGGTCTGATTGGCTGATGGCCACTGCACATCGGGCTATTGAAAGGGGCGCCGAAGGGGGCAACAAGCAGAAACCCCGGCCCTAGGCTTACCATTTCTATACCGATTCTGATAGGATATTGCGCTTCCTTGGACATGGGCGGCTCTTTGTTAACTTTTGATACCTCTAAAGGGACCTGGAAGGCGTGTGAAACGTAATAACGTTGTCATTCCGTAGTGGGCCATACGTTTTGCTCGAATACTTCCGGTTTAATCCCAGGGCGATAAAAATGCCATAGAATATGCGATTATTTCTGTTCGGTTAGGCCTAAGATTAGGATTAGGCTGAGGCTTAAGCTTTTGCTTAACTTAGGCTTAGGCTTAGGCTTAAGCTTAGGTTCAGGCTTGGCTATGCTGAGGCTTAAGCTTCGGCGTATTCTTAGACTTAAACAGGCCTAATCTTGGCTTAGGGTCAGGCTTAGGGTTAACTTAGCTTTGCTTCGCTGGGCTTAGCTTGTGCTCTGGCAGGGCGGGTAAGCTAAAAATCCCCACACCTTTTTTTCGAATCCTTCCGGTCCACCCTGTTTCCGAAATTTTTGCTGTTGCCTCCAGCCTGGTCCATCCCCCCAGGCGGACACCCCGAATTACCCGGCAGTGGTCGCGAATCGAGTCGGCCCGAAATGGGCGCGGCGCGAGTCGACAGAATGACCGGGATCTCGCATTTCGTGTGGGGTTGGGTAGTGGCGGGACCCGGAAAAGGGCCCAGGGTGCTCATTATCTGGTCAGGTAGAAAGAGAGAGAGAGAGAGGTAGAGCGAGAGAGAGCGAGGGAGCGAGAGAGAGAGAGAGAGAGAGACAGACAGTGTATTTGTAGTGGATGGAACACGATCCATCCCCCAGGGGTCGATGTGGGTTAATGTAGACATGTTTTGTTGAAGGGTCGGTAATGACCGGGAGGGGAAGTCCACTACCCACCTATCGACACTACTGTCCCCGCCTTCACGCCCCTCGGCTGTTTTTCAGGGGCCAAAAAGTGC